AAGAAGAAGAAGAAGAAGAAGAAGAAGAAGGAGAGGGAGAAGAAGGAGAATCCCCGCTTCGCGAAGGTTGAGCTGAGAGGACCCTCAAGTGGATGGCTTGAATTGCGTTCACGACCTCAAGTCGAATGCCAACAGGGCAACCGCACATGGTACATACATTATCGGCCCAAGCGGATCATCGGACCACCTATCAATCATTTGCATTAATCTTCGCATAGTTTGAAGCCGCGGCACACCACCTACGCACAATGCGAGAAAAGTCATTGTGTGAGCTTCGACCAACACTTGCAACATCCGTCAGATCCTCCAAGTCTTATATCCACTCGGACGCTATCTCTGCCGGAAAAGAGAGGGGTAGCGCATCTACAGCTCAGACGAGATGGCAGCTGTTGACGACAGTCGATCTGAGGGCGTTTGGAGGTTGGGTGATCGGATATGGAAGAAACGAAAAATAGAAAAGAAAGGAGAGAGGAAGAGAAAGGAAAGAGAGGAAAAGAGAGACGAAGATAGAAGGGAGGAAAAGAAAAGAGAGGTAAAGAGAACTATTTACGCATAGCTCGAGAAGCGACGATAAACGGTCAGACACGGCATCAGTGGCAAAGCGATGAAAGGCATCGCTAACGATAATTAGACGGCCACGCCAATGGTCACGGAGTCGACGTCATTATCCTTGCTACGGATGCCACTGGTGGTCTGGGTGCATGCCTCGTGTTCAATTCGTCAAGAGCAGCCGCGCGCGCAAGGTCAACCGGCGGGGAATTCAGGATCTCCGAATGCGCCAGGTGGACAGTTTACAGGTGCGCGGCCTCGATGCATGCCTTTTCGACGAGGGCAGCAAGCTGCAGCTCGTCAAGAAATACCTTAAGAAGCCTAGTCTGGGCCTCGAGCAATCGCTGTACGAACGGAGACGCGACTCGGTCAGCGTCGTTGTCCACAGTGCCTGGTGATCCAACTGTGGGTGTGCGCTCTTGCTCTTTTTTTGCTGATGCCTGCGATCACAAGGCTTGGTTCGCCTCCCTTGGCTCAACGACAGACATACAGTCTGTGTCTGTCGTTAGTCAGCTTCGAGCCCCTGCTAAGGGCATGCGCAACTTCATCGACATGGCGCTCACATCGCACATCAGCCACGAGCCTCAAATTCTCTTCTCCAGAACCATCTTAGCCATTCTGGCCGTGCCCGACGACGTCGTGCTCGGGGACGAGTTCCCTTCTCGGCCACAGGGAACACAATTGGCTATGGAAACATAGTTGGCTATGGGATGGGCAAGATGGTTACCGAGCACCTCTTCCTCGCCTCGCCCCTCTCTCAGACGCCTTCGAACCGCTTTGGTCAGCTCAGCGGCACTCTCGGCTACAGCTACTACTGGAGCACGACGGACTGGCTGCCCTTGCTCGTCAGCAGCGACGAAGTCGTGGGTGTGCTGCCGCCTGCCTCGCCCGCGTCGAGGCGGACAGCTGCATCCACAGCCTCGACGCCTTCCCCATGGTCAAGCTACTTCGCTTCTTCAGCGTCAGCCCTGCCGCCCTGAGCGACGGCAAGCACCTCGACACGAGCCGCGCTTAGGCCCGTTCGTCAGCGCTGTACAAAAGCAACACCATCGATGGCCATCATGCCCGTGAGTGGGTCGCGTGCTGGCGGCGCACGGGCTTTCTGGCCGCTGCCGCCCAATGATCGTCTCGCGTCTGGTGGTGGCTAAAGTTTTCTTTGGGGGATACAGGTGCTAATCTTGCGTTTTGGCACACTTAGATGTGTGCTGGACATGGTGCTCACACTGCTTCTTGGCTTGACTAGAATAAGAATGGCAGAGAAAGCGCACTCTAGCTTCTTGAGACTAGAGTACGTGCTTGTGACGGAAAGACGGAGGGTCGTCAAAGTAAGATTTGAGCTCGGAACAGGTTGTTCGGCGCATTTTTCGACATGCTAGTCCTCTCCCTTAGCGACCCCGACGAACATACGCGGTATCTCCAGACTCCCATACCCTTTCTCCCAAGAGCCATCCTTGGAGTCGGCCATGCGCAAGTGCCTCGGTGACAACGATCTCCGCACTATCACAGGCTGTTGTGCTACGTAAATTTCAGAACCTTGATGGTAGACTGAGCTAAGTCGTTTTGCTCGGACGCGTATCAGCTCGTTCGGCCAAGGTAGCAGATGAAAGTCAGGGAAGGGCAGAAAGGGCTCCATTTCGGAGGCGATGGTCGTCATTTATGGTCTGGGGTTCTTTCATCCCATCACCGGTGCTGCGCTGCTTGTGATAGAACGTTCGACTGCAGTGATCGCGAGCGCTTCCTCTGCAGTCGGTTCAGATCCAGGAAGAACAGCCCGCCATCGTCGGAGCCGTCCTTGGACTACGTGCCTATCCGACGTGCCACGCGTATTCTTCTTCGGACGAGCCGAAGGCTCGTCATCGATGTATTGACCTCTCTTAATCTAATTACTTCAATGAGGCATCTTCCTCGAATTCGGCTCCGTCTGAGAGGGCACCGGTCGGCGATTAAAGACAAGATTAGGCTGTTCGGGCGTGCCTTACAGTCCCAGCCGGAGGCCTTCGCTGACGCTTCAGCATGCCGTTGAGGATTCGCAGCCAATGTCAACATTCATAAGAAAAGCGAAATGCGTTCCTCATCAGGCGAAGCGCAGCCGTTAACAATGATCCCGGAAAGGTCTTATTTTTGCAACACACAAAGTCCCAACGGAGAGAGGTCTTCAAGCTCAGCAGTAGAAGAAAAACAAACGGAGCTGATTGAAAGCTGTCACATTGACATTGAAGGAAGCGCTCTCTTCAAGCATAACGACTTTTGTCGTGTCAGACGACGTCACTTCCCGCGTGCCTGCTCAGAACCTTCTTTCGCAACCAACGCTTTATCCGGCTTGTAGAACAGCGGTCTCCACGAATGTTGTCAAAAGCTTGTCACCTCGGGACATCTTTGGGTGGCAACGAATTTTAGTGCGGCTTCGTAAAAAATTCGATTGCACAACTTGACCGCGTGGTCACATGTGCGTGCAATTTCATCCGCTGCATGCGACCGACTAAAAAAGTCGCTGCTCTTTGCTCAATCGTCGATTCGATCTCTGCGAGATTAGAATCAAGCCAGTATTGCAAAATGAAAATAAATGTTGAATATTACGGCTAAATAAAATGTCCTCATGTACACTTTCGACACTCCGTCCCACCTGAGCGTCTTTGTCGACGTTCCTGCAGCTGTGCTGTGTCTTGACCTTACCATGTGGAAGAGGGACAAACGATGTTACGGTGCAGTAATAAAGCTTCTCTTGATATTGGTGTTGAAAAGAGAGAGAAAATGGCGCTTGACTACCTCTGTTCCTTGGCCTAGCCACTGCTATCTTATGCAGAGCTGAAGGACTGGTATCCGTCCGGAGTCAGCTATTCTAAAGTACAAGGCTACGACCTTGCTGCTCAGAATCTCGAGCTCATACCCTTCTCCCGTCTCACATTCCACATCGGGCTTCCTGCAAATCCGTTACAAGCATGAACGACAACGGTCATGGAGACATAAAGGAGCAAGATGGCTTCCCGACCGCCTTTGACAGCAAGCGACCTGAGGGTAGCCAGAGCTCGAAAGTGCCCACCGTGGTAGCGCCCGGAAGGGTTCCCCAGCCCAATCAGGAGGGTATAATCACGGTGCAGCCACTGAGGAAGAGCGATATGCAGCCTTCCTACGCCCAGGATCTGGGCCTGAGCGACGTCAAGGTAGGAGGGGTTGGCGAACATGAACCAGGATTGTAGTCTGCTCATGTAGTGATCTCTCCCACTCCCTCAGCACGGCTTCTACGGCTCGCTGATCAATTGCCTCGGTGACACTGCCGGCGCTCTCGGGCAATTCCCATGCTGCCCCTGCCCCAACCCGTTCAAGCAGGTCAGGCAAGGAAGCGTGGGACTCGTGAGCCGGGTAGGTTTCCCAGACTGGATGTGACCTCTGTCTCCTTCCTCTCACACTGACAGGATGCAAAACATACAGTTTGGTCAATTCTACAAGAGCGTCGATCCCGGCCTGGTCAAGATCAACCCGTGCAGCGAGTCGCTACGCATTGTCGATGTCAAGATCCAGCTGATCATCGTCCCGCAGCAGCGCGTCACGACGCGAGACAACGTTAGCATCGAAGTTGACAGCGTCATTTACTGGCACGTCTCGAACCCGTACAGGGCGGCGTATGGCATCCAAGACATCCACCGCTCACTCGTCGAGCGCGCTCAGACCACGCTGAGGGACGTCGTGGGTAGCCGGACCATCCAGTCGGTCATTTCCGACCGCACTGAAGTGGCCCACCAAGTTGAGGAGATACTCGAGACAGTTGCTAGCAAGGTGTGTCGCCCTCATGTACGCCTTTTGACGTCTCAGACTTGCTGACAGGGTGCGATAGTGGGGTGTCGTCGTTGAGAGCATACTTATCAAGGACATCATCTTCTCGCGCGAGCTCCAGGAGTCGCTCTCGTCGGCCGCGACGCAGCGCCGAATCGGGGAGAGCAAGGTCATTGCCGCAAAGGCTGAAGTAGATGCTGCCAAGCTCATGCGCCAGGCCGCCGACATTCTCTCCGTGGGTTGTCGATCTTACTTCTTTTTCATCACTTCACGAAGCTCATCGAGAATGTTTTGCACAGAGTCCTGCTGCGATGCAGATCCGCCAGCTCGAGTCGCTCCAGGCAATGGCAAAATCGGCGGGAAGCAAGGTCATCTTTGTGCCCATGAATCTAAACGACGTCAAGAGCTCCGTCCTTGCCGATGGCACAGGTGTTGTCCATCCTGACACCCACGGTGTGGGCGATACTGCAGTAAGCCCAGTCTGTAAGGAGGACCCGACTAAAGATGTGGCGCGCCTGTCGCAGTTGACTCAACTGTAGTTGCCTGCAACTCTCGCTCTCTCAGATTCGCTCATGTCCTTCTTTCTTTCTCTTGCACGTAACGTCGTGAAAGACTCGCTTTGCTGCTTTGTGCCCTTGACTGTATTTAGACTTAGAGTTAGTATGGACTGCCCAGACAAAGCAACCGGGATTAGGTAATGAGACATGGTGTGCTGTCCTTGCGCCAATGTCCGTGGGCACTTGCTTGCTAGGATCATAAACAGCCGGTTATGTAGCTGCCCGATGATGTACACCTTGCGTGATAGGGGAACGAGAAGATAGAGTGAAGAGCGCGCCACATACATCCAGTCCTTGTACTTGGGGTTGTCCTGGATCTGTGGGGCGTGATTGACAAGCACAAATAGTGTGCCTGGGTATCCAGTTGTCTCCAAAAGCTGATGTGGATACATGGTGGTGCACCAGCGGTCCACATCCAGCTCGTCTTCCAGATTGGTATGCTGATAATGCTGATTGAGATCGTGGTGTGGGGCCAGACGCAGGTTTTCAGATTTTCACACGTGCAGAAAGATAAAGACGCATTGCTCTACCACTACCCCATCCTCAACCTTTGGATTTTTTGTCAGTGACATAATTATCCTTCAAAATTAGGTCATTTGCATCGTTCTCAGCCATTAAGCATGCTACAGCCATGATTTTGGTACCATAAGAATCGTCTCGTTTCACTCTAGCTAGTTGTGTTTTTCCACGTACCCCACTCAGACATAGATGTGTTTTTTTTTTTTTTTTTTTTTTTTTTTTTTTTTTTTTTTTTTTTTTTTTTTTTTTTTTTTTTTGCCTTAATGAATCGGGTAGCTCTCGATTCATACTTTCGCATGATCTACGTCTCGTTATCTAACTACGGCTGCTTCATCCTGGCAAGTAATCCTAATTTCTCTACTCTAGCTAGCGGTCAGAAATGCTCCCCAAGGGTTAGTCTTCTTTCACGTACCTCACTCAGACATAGCTCCTTTTGTTTTCAGTTTTGCTCCTGGAACAGCTCCTACAACGCGCCAACCCTTGGTTTTTCCGCCATCATCAACCGGATAGCCCTCGATTTACGCTTTCCAATGAAGTACGTCTCGTTGTATAATCCGGTCGCTTCGTCTGAGCAGTCCGTAGTAACCCTAAGACAGAAACGAAAACGTTTTGGTGCATTCAATGGCATAGCTGGGATAGATGATGTGCAGCGGGGCTGGTGCGAGAAGGATGGTTGCCAGAGACTTAATATCGAGTGAAAGGCGTCAGAGTAGCAGCAGGGTCTTCTTATGTGCTAGCCCTGTGGACATCGAGAGCAAAAGTACTGGTCTCATATCGTGATTGCATGAAGCCTGCGCATCAGCCAGAACGCAGATGCTGAGGTACGGGGCTTTGGTAAGTCGTCTGGACTCGCAATCGCTTCTCGAATGTCCGTGTCGTCGTGCCGAACAAGATACTCAGTGACTAGCAATGCAGCAAGCGGCGTGGTTCACGGCACGCTACTTCAACTGGCATGTACACAGGCAATTCTCTCCCAAATAATAATTTCGTCAGGACTTGCTGCGCCTCGGTCACCAATACTTTCTTCGAGTGACCTAAGCTTTTTCGTTTGCACTTTGATAAGTCGATGGCTCGTTTACAAAGACTTAGGAGTGATTTAGCGCAATTTGCTTCTTACAGGGAAATGGTCTATCGAAGCAAGAGGCCACTTCAAGAGCGTGGCACGTGCTGGTAAGAAGATCGGGCATCTCACTTTAGTGGCTGTCATTAGTTTCCATACCGTCATTGGGATGCCTAAGTCTTAGGAAAGATCAAGAATTCAGCCGATCGCTCGCTTCATCCAAAAAGGAGACAGAGAAGGGATCATAGGCTTTGCAAGCTTTGCGAGAGATGCTCCCTTCGCTGTGCTTCACGTCTTCATCACAACGTCATTCTTCGCATTCTCAAGACAAACCTCGATAGGGTTTACCACAGTCGTGCGTACGTATCAAGGGGTCGATCCACCGCCTGAGCGCCTCTCCTGTTGTGTGTCGCAATGGTGCGGCAAGTAGATACTTGATGTGGGAATGATCCCATGTAGATCAACTAGTGCTATTGGCATGACATGCACTGACGTGGTGACTGCATGCTGTGTCCACTCACTTGCGTCTTTGAGATGTACTGAAAGATGGCCGGCTGAAGCCTGCATAAGTATAAGCACAAAGGCAATCATGCCGGCGGCGCACACTTGTAGCGCAACTGCTTCGGCCTTCTTCGTAGGTGGAGAATATATTCGTCAGATTTAAGTAGACTACCATGCCAACACCTCTCATAAATTGATGAAAAAGAATTTCGCTTGGAGAGCGTATTTGAAAAATTCCTAATACCCCCTTGTCAACCTACAAACTTCAGTGCTAGCATGCAGCTGCTTGGCAATACAAATCCGAGGACAACATAGGAACATGGGCCTTGTCTTTTCTTGCATTTCATAAGGCAACTACTACATCCCATGTCGACATCGGCACCGCTTGTCGGTCCCGCTAAACGAAAGGGACCAGCCAATTCAACTACAGCTAGCGTCGCGGAGATACACTGTACCAATGGCCGAATTTTCGGCGACATTTGTCGTCCTTAGCAACTATGGAAACACTGGCGCCCTTCAACAGGCCATAGAGCGGGAAGCCGGACAATGTCAAGAGAATGAAGGGCCCGAATAAACGCGAGGACTTGCTGTCGCGTCTATCCTACCCAGCTTCGACAACAAACTCCTGACAAGGGTATAGCACACAAGGGAAGCCCTTCTGCACACAAGGAGAGCCTTAATGGACGGCAACTGCCATCTTTGACGCACCGCAATTAAAGCAGGAGAGCAAGAAATACAAAGAAACAAATGTCGGTCACCGCGTGCCCATCAGAAGCCACCCGCTTGTCACATCTGGACACGTCCTTGCTTTGAAGACCTGGAATGACAGTTCCGAGTGCCTGAAGGAGGGACAGACCGCCCGCGTAAGTTTGTGCTATCTCGCGGTCCTCCACATTCTCCGTGAGGTTCGCGAAGAAGGCATGTCGAATATCAGGCTATCGAATTGTTCAAGAAGACAGGAACGTAAAGAAATGCGTCGTTGCGTATGTACTTCAAGGACGGCGACGCGACACGTCGAGCTTTGCAATTCCGAGGAGAGGATGGAAGAGCTGCCTCAGAGAAAAAAGGATCTCCGATTGGAGCAGCTGAAGCTTTCTGGCAAGGGACAAATGATGGTTGCAGAAAGAAATAAAGGCTCGCTTTAGGAGCATCTTGACTCAAGAGGTTCATGAAACCTCATCATCACACCCTCAGCCTAAGAAGAGGGGGAAGCAATCCGTAAAGACAAATTGAATTCTCCTTCACGAATTACTATTGGTCTATTGCACAGGCCTTCGTCGCTCTCGTGGGCGACGTTGGGCGTGATCCCGAGGTGCGATCTTCATGACCGTATGACGGCTCCTGGTTGAGAATTTGGTCTTTTGATTTGTGCAGGTACGTGCCAAAAAAGCCCTCAGTTGAACTTGGGCAAGCTCTCAATCTTGGCAATTTTGGATTGTGGTCACAATGTAGCTGTGCCACGAGGATGTAGATCGTGAATCTGATCCTAGCGTGCTTTGAAAGAATTTTGATATGAAATGATGCTCGGCCGAGGAATGACAGACTTTACGTATATCATAACACGTGGGCTAGCTAGTCAGTGTACCGAGTATCATCGATGTTAACTCCTCAAATCTCCCTCATCCTTCATACTACGCAAATGACATCAAGTCATTCAACGCGAAGCAAAGCCGCCAGTCGCACGT